ACATCTCAGTAACAGGCTGGAGGTTGTGTGCAGAGGGAGGCGTTTTCACTTTAAACGGCCCTGAGGAGGGGCCCGTGCCCGGAAGCCTGCTGGTGGTGGCGTTGTTTTGTTTTTTGTTGTTTTTTTTTTTGGCAGTTAACTTCTGTTTCGCAAACAGCCCTCGCCATCTCGCTGAGGGGCCGTACAGCTCTGCGTCCGGCTTCGTATCGTGTAAAAGCTGTTCAGTAAGTAGAAACAAGAGCCAGCCTCCGGTGTGCGGTGGTTTAGAGCCGGAGTGCCTGATTGCTGGGGGTTAAACAACAGGCTCTTGCCTCAAAACTGGCTAGGTGGGGGGAGAAATTAGCGGAGCGGCGGGTAACGCCCTGATAAAATGAGGGTCTGAAGCTCTTGGAGGCAAACTGCAGTTGGGAGCAAGGGAGCAGTTGTAAATGGGGAATAAAAAAATAATCAGGGAATTAAAAAAAGGATTGACGTTGACAAGAGGTAACGAATTGGTAATGCGGACGTGAGAGGGTACCTACAGCAGCGTAAAGCTAAGGCAACGAAGGAGCTGAAACTTAAAGCTAAAAGAGAAATTTAGATAGAGACCTGGTAAACCATTAGTAAGGAACGATTAACATTAAGAGGAGGTGGAAAAAGGAAGCTAGCAATGTTTTTGTAGCTTGCTGAAGAAAACTCCCAAGTTGTCAGTGATGGACGTATTTTTTTCTCATGTAGTAATATTTATTTACAAAAGTACTTAAATGGAAAATACATGATTTTCTAATAGTCTTTTCTGTTTTTCAGTTTATTCTGAAGGGCATCATCAAATCTGCATGGATTTGGAGGTTAAAGGAGTTGCTGCATCCCCTCGAAGGCAGACTCAGCTGCCCTCCAGGGGGAAGAAACATGGTCAAGTATGTGAATGGAAGGCTTATGGCTGCTTTCCTTTGACGTTTTTGCAAATGTCTTAATTACACTTTAGGAAGTGTTTGGTTCAAGCTTATCATATATACTATAGAGAAGGAAAGTTTTTAAGAAATTATTTTTGTCATAAAGTTATAGCTCTATATATCAGTTTCTCAAATGAAGGAAAGAATCTCAAAGAAGAGAGACAGCCATGCTAAAATAACCAATGCTTCTAGGTGCTTACCTGGGATGTGGGGAACTCGGGTACAAGTCAGTACTTGCAATTAAGTGCAACAGAGAATTGACCCTGGGCTCTGCGCTGCTTCAGACTGTTGGTGAATCTGATACCAGATTTTGGTGTAGTTACGGGTTTTGTTTCATAAGGGAGCAATAACATAGAGCAACCCCCAAAACATGATTTCAGAAGGCGTAATTACAGACTGATGTGATGTAAAATAAATCTCAGTACTCAGCATTTGTTATGCAGGGAATTTTTTTTTTCAGGTATCCTACTAAATAAGGTATGTATGTAACTCTCACATGATTACTGTAGCACAAACTTTCACGCTAACTTTTGAAAAGAAATTACATGCTTGATTAGTATAAATACGATATCAGATTACAAGAGCCATTGTTTTTATTATAACTAATGTAAACACTAACTTTTTTAATAACAGTTGATCTTTCTCGGAGATAATGTGTACTTTATGCCCGTGAACTAAAAGTTAATCTGTAATCTCCCCTCAGCCCCCAAACACCCATTGAACTTCCATGTTGCTGATGGGAGACCACATTAGGAATTCCTGGAGCTTGACTGCCAAACTGTTGTTTTCCTTCTTTGCTTGATTTGGAATGTTAGGACACCATTTGTAACCCATATTAAGCAATCTTATAGTGGTGTCCTTTAACAATTTTTTTTGGAGAATGAAAGATTTGTATACAACAACAGCATTTGGGGCATATATTGTAGGTTATGAAAGAAATGTGCCCATTTTTCTCTAATCTCTTACTCCTTTTTTCTTCTCCTCATGCCTATCAGTTTCCAAATGTGAACTTCCTGATACTTCTGCTTCTTGGTGGCTTGGTAAATCATAGATTAAAACTAGGTTAAAACTGTTCTTCAACTAGTAAATTTGGACTGTCTTCAAGGTGATTTTGTGGATGTGATTGTTTGCTTTCCTCATGGCTAGATGCCTTCTGGAAAAGGAGTTATTTTAATGCTTTATTTTACGGTAGTTGAAATGCTACAAAAATATATATATACACTTGTGATTTAAAGCACTGCAAAAATATATGTGACTTAATGAACTGTATATTCATCTGTAAGCATATCCTTAAGAATAAGACTAAATTGTGTTAGATCTTGTAACAGCTTTTTAGGTATCTGACCACAGGGTGGTGGTGTTTTATATGCATGACCTTCCTGTAGAGAGGGGAGAAAAAAAAAAAAACTGAAAAGCCTTTTTTAAAGGCACTAGAGGGTAGTGTTGCTCAACTGTGATCTTTTTTTTTTTTTTTCCTTCCCTTCCCATCTTACCGTTCTCAAATCATGAAAGATACTGGGCCACAGCTGGAAATAGGATGTCTGCTCAGTTCAGATTGTGATGCTGAGATCTCTGAGCTGAACTGAAGAGTGTTAATAACCAAGATGCTGGCCCTGGCTCAGAACAGCCTTGAACCGCAAGTTTTTTCACACTGGGAGGGCAGTTGGGGGAATTGTTACTATGTGCTTGCCCCAGTCCTAGGGATTTTGTGATGGCTCTTTTCAGAAACGTGATGGTGGAATAGATGGAGCTTTGACTTTTGATCTTTTTTTTCGTGTTACCGTTTTGCTCTATGGCAAAGTGCGTGTGGCGTAATATTATGCAAAATAAACTGTGTGAGTACAGAGGTTGTCTAGTCGTCATCATGTGGTACTATATTAAAGCTAAGATTGCAGAGTACAGCAAATATCTATGCTTCTCTGAGATCTGAGCTAGCTCCATGGGAGCCAACTGACTATCTCTATTGGGTTTTTGGTTTATGGGTTGGATGAGGGCTTGCTTCAGAGACTCCCCAGCCGACAAGGAGCACGTGACCTAAGACCTTGTGAGCAACGATTGTACAAAGTCCCAGGAGTGTGGAGTATTTTCTAATGTCTTATTAATAGCTGGCGTGGACACTATCTCTATTCTGGGTCCTTAATGATTAAAAATGTTTCTGTTCTGATGAATATTGAGTCTTTTAGTCTCGCTTATGATCTATATGAATGAACTTTAAATGAGAAGTGTCTTTGTTTTGTTTTCTTATTAATAGTATCACAGTCAAATGTGTCTCACATGTTTTGAGGCATCCTTTCTAAATAGTCTAGGGGAGGCTAAAAGAACAACTGTGTGTTTTAGATCTTATTCTTGTAGGTATGTAATAATTTATCATCCTTTTAGGGGTGGAGATCAGATACACAGGCTACTCGTGGTCCTCGCCCACCAGAGTAAGTCTGTTCCTATTTATCAGTCTACTTAATTGTGCATTACTAAATAGCGTAACTAACAAAATGCGTTTGTGTTTTTATTGACATGTATATCAGTGCTCTGTGAAATTTATCATCAAAGGTTTGTTTTCTATGATTTATACTTAAAGTAGAATTTCTGAAGCATTGTTTATATTGAAATTAACTTCATTTGGTTTTGGTTGAGCTTAACTGCAGAGTAGTACTCGGGGAGAGTTATACTCAATGGTCTGCAAAAAGAGAAAAGCTTTTTTTCTTTTAATTTGTTGGTTTTCTTTGCCAGTATTACAGTAAAAATTGTAAATAAACTGTTGCGAAGAGCTTTTACAAGTAGTGGGAAATTTGTGCAGTGCATATAGGATTTAAAACCTTACACTTTTGTCTGCAGATAAGGAACATCAGGTCTTCCAAGCACCATCTTTGGAATTTTAGAATTTTTATTTACTTGAATTTTTTACAGCCTGCGTATCTTTCTGCGTTATTTTGCAAGTATACATGACCACGAGGTAGGATTTTTCATATCTGAGCTAAACAACTTCAATTTCTGCGTGCTGTCAGTCAGGCTCTAATGAAAAAGACTGGAGTTTAAAGCACTCTCTCGTTCCAAGAAGTAATTTTGTTACAATAGGATTGTTTGGAAATATTGATAGTAAAATAGGAAAAATACGCATTTTAGTTCTGCTCCAGAGTATACCTAGGTGTTTGGAAGAAGTTTTATCATGCTTGAAATTGAAATCTGCTGTCTTGATGAGACTATTTTAAGGTACAGTTTGCAAGTTTTATTGTGACTTGCAGTTGTCCAGTGTGTTTGTAATAAAAACTTGTTTACATTTTCTACGCTTTTTTTTTTTTTTTTGCTGCAGTGCTAAAAGTGTAACTTGCCTCTTGGTATGCAAGCCACCTCTCACTGAAAATCAGTGGGGACTGGGCTGAACCCTCTGAACTGTGAAACTTTTGTCTATTGCAACCTCTCAAAGGCACAGACAAAGTTCAGAAATGTGTTCATGAGCTGGAGATGTTTTAATTTCCTTAAGCAGAATGAAATACTGAAGTAGAGTTGGCTTCCACTGTATTATTCTCTTCCAACAGCTTTGGGATGCAAACCTTCAAAAAGCTATTCCCCATTGCCTGTCTTGTGACTGATCATAGAGGGAAGTTGCCACAAATCTGTTGTGGAGGAAGGGAGTAAGGGATCCCTGACTTCTGCCCTTGCTGCAGCAGCTCCTGGTGGAGAGTGAAGAGCAGCCAGGATAGCCTTACTGACAGAGCCTTGGAGTGCAGTTAGGCCTTTCACGAGCCCTTTGCAGCTGCTGGTGTACTCTGCAACAAGGGATGAAGGAAAGCTCTGTGGCCAGTTCCTGAAATGGCAAGAGGGCTTACTAGGGATTTTGCCAAGTAGGCCCTCTCCAGTTGTAGTGGAACTATTTATAGTAGAGACGTTTTTGTGAAGGAGCTAATAATAATAATTAGTAGATTGCTTACTTTTGCTGTAATTGAAAAATAGGAGAACATACTGCTATTAAAATCTTTTCAACTTCCTGCAGGGTGCCATGCCTCGATCTAGGGAAGCTGGGAGATTCTGATGAAGAGGTAATTATAAATTAATTTTGTCTTGAGTAGTAATAAACTCCTGCAACGCATGAATTCTAATAAAATATAATTTTGCTTTGAATCTGTTTTTAAAAAAAAAATTACCGTTGCTTGTCCTTTTCATTTTAGGATGGGGACTTTTACATACCATACAGCAGAAGTTATCCGCATACTTGCTCTCTAGATTCATCTTCAAATTGGAGAACGTCATTACAAACACCATATGCACAGCATCATCAGGCTCAACAAGTTAGTTTGTCATTATAAATCTCTTTAAAGTATGCCCCGTTAGGGATAACGTAGACAAACATATTTAGTTTTATTATACAGCTTCTCTTTTTTCATTTGATTAAACTTATATATCCAAGTGCTATTGGTCCAAATTATTTTTGGTGAAGTACTTCTTACTGAGAAGCTTGTAGACTATTACAGAAATACTGTTTTCTTCATTCATTCACCCTTTCCCTCATTTTTAAGATATGTATTAGCAGCTGGCTTTATTAACAATTTGCCAAAGCAATTGGAAAGTTTAATAGCTTTGAGGTAGCATGTAACTGTGATTTATCTTTCTAAACAAAGTGGAACTTATGAAAATAACAAAGATAAGATAATTAGTGGTCATTAAGCATATGATTGAAGAAAATAACCTTGGTTTACAAAATGTAAACGTTATTTCTAAAGAGGAATAATTTGTTTTGGCTGGAAAGAGACTTTTGGAGTTAAGTGCAGCCATTTCTTAGAGGTTTTTCTTAATCTTTAATCTTTAAAACAGAGTTGTGATGTCAACTTTGGAATTATATTCAGTCTGTCAGAGAGCTTTTATTGTTAAAATTTCCTGATCAGTATTACTATTTTTTTCATATGACTGAGAAACTTACCCTGCCTTACATCTTAGGTGCTTTACAAGGAAAAATCAGTGGTCCAGCTGTTAACAAGCAATTTTATAAAGTTACAACACCGTTCAGGATCAATATCTGGTATAATAAATTTACATATAGTGTAATATATAATACACATAATAGTGTAACTTCAGAGAGGTTGTAGAGTCTCCCTTCTTGGAGATATTAAAAGCCTGACTGGACATGGTCTTGGGTACCCTGCTCTAGTTGACCCTGCTTGAGCAGGGGGGTTGGACCACGTGATCTCCAGAGGTCCCTGTCAACCCCAACTATTCTGTGATTCTATAATTTATTTACTCGGCTGCTAAAGTTGTTCCTTGAGTGCAGGAAAAGACTTCTCATACCTGAATGAAATTTGAAAAAAAAGAGAATGTACAATTTTTTATTTGATCATTCATACAGGAGAGGTTTTGATAATTACTATTCAATTTCTCTTTTCCTTTAGTTTAAACAGATATGTAGAAAGTCTTGTCAGAAGAAAATGGAGGTAAAGTAGCTGAAAAAATACATACTGAGAAAGTGTTTCAGATGTGATAGTTAGAGGGAAAAGTGCTGCAAACAGTAGCCTTTCGATATCCCTGTATCTTCGAGAAATTAGATATCAAAAGTGTTAAATTAATTCAGGAACAGTACCACCAGCATGATTATTTTCTGTTACAATCATGCACAATACATAATCATGGCAAAATGTTACTATTATTATTTATATTATATATATATTTCTATTATATATATGTGCAACCTTGCCACTGCCCATTGTGTCTCTTGCATCTACAGAGAGTTGCTGTTAAGTCGATACCTGAGTTGCAGCAGACTCTAGGGGGGTTTTGCCTACCCCTGCTGAGCCAAGCTGCCTGCTCTTTGCAGTTTCTCTGTATGAGCTACAGTCTGCGGCCTCACTGCGCCAGGCTGTGGCTCCCTGTCCTCCACGCTTTCTGCTCTGTAGAAGATGCTCTCTCCTGATCAGACTTGGTAGCTCCTCCAGGGAAGGCACAGTCTCTTCTTTTTCCTTCAAGGGGCTTCACTTCACCTAGTATTATTGAAGGAAGTTAGGAGAATTGTGAATGAAAGTAGAAAAACAGAAAACCTGTCCATCACAAGGGCAAATTGAAGTATTTGTCTGAAAGGGTGTTTTGAACATGAGTAACATTCTTTTGCAGCAGCTACCCACTTTTTTCTTTCAAACTGTTTAAACTTCTGTATGCTTCTAAAAGCTTAACACTCTATTGTTTCTGAGAATTTTTAGCTAATGAAAACATAGCAACTCAGGTTCATTAAGACTTTAGACTTTAATTAGTGCATACACTCTTCATTAAAGTCTGTGTGAACTGATTCTGAGATTACTGAGATTACTGGACTAAGCGCTCTCTACTTCTCAGAGTATCCATGTACCTGATGTAGATATTTATGCACTTTACACTTCTACTTTAAATTAAACATTTAACTATGAATAGGTTATGTTCCCCTGTACTGCATCCTAAGCGTGCAATACAAACATGCTTGAGTTGCTATACTCCTTTTAGCTGTGGATGCCTAAAATTTCACCTCTCGTTTTACCATATTTTTAAAATGTAAATCTGTTTAGCAGGAAGGCTAACAAAAGGTTCCTATGGCTTTGACCATCTCCTAAGGTCATTCTGTCTTTCTTCATTGCTTTCCTTTGTCTTCTGTCTCTTTCCTTCCTGCCTTCATTATATCTAAAATACAGTAGTGCTGAATGTGTGGGAATGCATCTTCTGTTCATTTACGCTCTTTTGCGTGCGCGCTCTCTCTCTCTCTCTCTCTTTTTCCTCTTTGTTTGGTTTCCTTTTTTTCCGTTTTTTTTCCTCCTTTTCTTTGGTCCCTTTTTTCCTCTCCCTTCTTTTCTTTGGTCCCTTTTTTCTCTCCTTTCTTTTCTTTCTCCTTCCTCCTTCAGATTTTCAAGCAGTCCTGAAAAATACTTTAATGTATTCCTCTGAGCGGCCTTTATTTCTGCATTGCTTGCTTCTTGGGTCCTGACTGAGCATTCCTTTAGCAAGATATATTCCAGCTTCTGCAATAACAGACTGTGTAAGTAAATCTTCCCCAAGTAGGTCATTTTCAGAACAATAATTTAAATATAATCTTAACATTCAGGAAATTAACCAGTGAGAGGGATGTGATTTCTCTCTTGAAAGAGAATGCTGCCCTTTTAAGAATGTCAATATTTTGGTTTTTTGAAAAATGATTTTCCAGAACAGTATTGTTTCCTGCTCTTGCAGGATCAGAAGATATGCCAAGCAAGAAGGTGTTAGCTATTCAACGAGAGAAGGAAGAATAAAGTGTTGGGCTTCTCATTTCTGCTGTTTCTGTTGGATCCAGTCTCCCTTGTGTAGAGCACTGAAATGAAGAAGGCAAACTTAGGAAGTTACGTAGTTGGTTTCACAGCCTTTTCAACTGATGTTGCTCTAGGGAAGGAAGTCCCATGGCTAATATTCTTCTACCACTTGTTATTAGAAATTCTGATTCAAAAAATTCATCAGTCCCTTTTCAGCCATCTAAATCAAATATCAGGGCCCCCGTCTCACAGTCTTCGGCGCATGGTCTTATAGGACAGTACCACTGAGTCTTGGCTTCTCTCTTTAAATGTGATGTAAAGCTATTTCGTTGGCTCCATGTTTTTTTTTTTAAGATAAAAAATGGCAGAATATGAAGAACTCCATGAAAATCAAACCTGAATCTGCAGTCGTATTTGCCTTCTTTTTAATGTGAAGCGTAGTGCCAACTAAGCTTTTAAAAGTTAGACTGGCTGGCCGTTATAATTGTACTGTTCTCATTTAATATCTCAACCAGAGGCTTTTATATAGGTTATTTTTTGCTGTAGCATTCTCCTTTGGAACAAAAGACAATACCAGAAAATCTGCCCTCCCCAACAGACAAATATAAAGTAAAGTATCAGCAGTATGAGGCAGAGATGAAGGAAAGATATAAGCAGTACTCTCAGAGAATTGCAGCAAAGAAAAAAGACCACATCCGATGTCCAGAAGCTTTGAAGAAGGTAACTAACAAAGAATTAATTACATTTCTAAATAGCAAATATATGTTGGTATTTCATTACAGTGTGTAGAGAGGTTTGCATATGTGTGTAAATAATGTTCTTCATTTGTAATTTCTTCCATGTTTTTATTGCATAGATATTTCCATTTGTGGTTTCAGCAACTAACGTTGAGTAGGGTATAAACCACAGGAAATCTGCTGGAGTTTTCTGTGTAAATAAACACTGATAATCACAAGTATGTTCCTGGCTTATACTCTCTCGTAAGGAATGTGCTATTTGCCCTCATGGTGCTTTAGCTTGAGCTTCAGGGTTAGCATGAATGATAGGGAAGAACTTGAACCCTGAGAAGATGAGAGGCAGTGCAAAGATACTGGTAAAAACGTTATTTCAGAATACATAAATGCATTAAAATCTTTTAATTTAAGTACGGAAGTATTTTAATTATTATTATATTAAATTATAATTGTATACAGAACTTACTAAATAAAGGGGGAAGGATGTCATCTATATTATACAGAACTGTATAAAACCTGAAAAAGAAGGAAAGGGGAAGGAGAGAAAGAAATATGGGGTTAAAATAATGGAAGATAATACCTGTCCTTTCTGCTGTGAGCATGTATGAGATTCAGTATAGTTGGACTGCAAACTATTAGTTCTGCCAGGTTTCTTTGTGATTTTTAATTAAAACTAAGATGCTAACAAAGGAAGAGAAATGGAGAAAAAATGGGAAAACAAAGCAGGGGAAAAAAAAGCTGTGCTTTTGATTTGGAAGAGAGAGTGGAGAAGGGTGGTTGCGCAGAGCTGCATCCCTCTAGGTGTACAGAGATGCCTGAAAAAAGTGTCTGGCAAGGAATAGGAACAGTGAGCAACATCTGTGAGGACTTGTAAAATGCTAGACACTGGTGAGGGGAGATCACCCTATGATGAGTCTTAATGAAAGATTAAGTATGCAGATGTTGAGGGAACATAGGTGGTTATTGTTTTTCAAAGAACAGGTTGCGTATGTGTTGCACATCACGAATGACGATGCAATTACTGATTTTTACTTGCTTAATGTTCAGCAAAATGAAGAGGGAAGGCTTTACAGAAGACGAGGATTATGGTTGCTGGGCTTAAGGTGTCTTTCGCATATATTGCTGATTGTTTTAAAGGGATATTCTCTTACAGTCACATTTCTAGTATTCAGATAAGACTCAAGAGTCTGTAATTAAACAATCTGTAATTAAGAGTTGAGGGGGAAAAAACTATTCTGTTGTTTTGGTAAGTTTACTTCTATATTTGATCGTCATTTCTGGTGATTTGTTGGAGTATTACTTCCCCTGCCCTCCCCGCCCTCCCCACGCTTACCTACCAGTCTGACGCCACCATGTTATCTGTTTTCTAAGGAGTGACTCCTTTATATGCTATACTGCAAGCCTATCAAGAGGGTATTTACAGGAGCAGCACAGGTTAATATGAAACTGAAGAAATAGGTGGCAAGCATATTCTGAGAGAGAAAAAACGGGTGATTCAGAGTCTCATGCTCTTGGGTTTCAGAGATGCTTGCTAATCACCACTAGAAGCTAAGTATGTTCATTCTTACAACAGATTTTAATACGATATCTAGCAGAAGAACTTTCTTTGTTAGATATTATCACTACCTAATTTACCTAATTAAATAAATAAAGCAAAGCCTCTTTAGATTTCAAGATATTTATTACTTTATCTGATATGTGGAACTTGTAATAACTTTTCTTCTCAGAAAAGAAGTTGCTCTAGAGCAGCATGACTAATGAAACGTGTTCTTTTGATTTATCTCTTCTCTTCCCCCCTCCCTAACTTTTGTAAACATAGCCGCCTCTGTCAGTTTTCTTCATATCCTCCACATGGGAGATATTCCTGTTATACCTCCAAACTGATTTGCAAGTCTCTCCCACCCAGTTCCATGCTTCGCCTACTCCCTGTCCACACTGTAGTTAACTTCTTTGCTAGGCAAGAGGCAGCACCTCAGCTGAGGTGGACTTTGAGCTAGGTATATGATGGCAAATCCATTGTTTTTTGTTGGCTATTGTTGAACAGAACAGAGAAGGGATGATTTCTTGTCGTCTTTAGAGAGGTGCTAACAGTCTGTCATCTTTGCTGCTATTTTTTCACAAAGCTTGTAGGAATACAACATTTTTGAGACTTTTTTGTTTCAGTATGATTGAAAGCTGGTAAAGATTCGAAAGCTATAAGCCTAGAACACAGAGCAAGATTCTGTAAGTTCAATTTCTTAGAAAGCCAGGCTAAAAAAAATTTCTTTACAGAAACAAGCACAAAGAAGAAGAAATAAAGACTGGGGGCGGGGGGGAGAAAAATGAATTTTTAATAAATAATTGAAGGTTTTTTTGTTGCAATTAATTAACTTTGATGTTATGAAAAGAATGTATTGTATTTTTGTATAGGGTGCACACCTTGAAGACCGGCAGAATGATGATCTTACAGCTCTTGATGAGAAAGCTCTCCTCCAGCAGTGCTATACAAGCAAGCCCTACAATATGCAACACAGCATAAAAAAATCAGAAGCTGTAAGGTTTTTTTTTTTGGCTAGAATTAGACTGTTAACTGTCTAGACTTACAGAATGACTTCCCAGGTGTTCAATAGAAGTTGGGCCCTTGACGGTTTGGCCCTAGTATGTAATTGCACCCATTGAAATCACAGGGGTTTAACCATTTCTTTCAATAGGAATGGAGCTGAGCATTCCAGTGAGTGTTTTTTTAATCTCGTCTATAATACTTGTATTTTATGTAGTAGATTTATAAATCGTATTTTCACTTATATATGAAAAAAATAAATACAAAGAAATAAGAGGATTAAATGGGTGACCTGTGTGAATCTGGCTATGCTGTTGTGTTTTCTCTGGTCTTTAGCTTGTCTTTGAGCCTCTATTCCATCCATGATCATCCATGCTATGTACATACCTGCTCTCGCTCTGGCTTGTTTCTAGAGCAAACACGCTGGTTTCCCTGAGATGGAGTATGTGATGAGAACTGTCTTTTTAAACAGTATGGGCTCTGTTTTCACTTTTAGATCAGGTGATCCATGGCTTTGGCTGAGTCTTCAAAATGGCAAAGGATGGAACTTCTGCAGCATCTCTAGGCGTTGTATTCCTCTGCTACGCTACTCTCCTTGTGAAGTAGTTCTTCCTAGTACCCATGCTGAGTCTCCCAGGGCTCCGTTTTTGACTCTGGCCTCTCGTTGTACTGTTGGCCACTGTCAAAAAACAGTTTGCCGCTCTCATCTTTGTAACTGCCCTTCGCTTGTAGGCTACTTTCACAGTGCCCCATATCTTCCTCTTCTGCAGATTAAACAAACCCAGCTCCTTTAGCCTCTCCTTGCAGGTTGTGTGTTTTGGCCCCAAACCCCTGCTGGATCCTCTTGTCTTGATCTTGGGGAGAGGGGAGAGACCATAAACTAGAACCAGGTGCGGCCTCACTAGCGTGAGTAGAGAGAAATAACAACTTCCCTTAAATGGATGTATCCAATATATTTCTTTAATTTGTTATGCAGACATGATTTTTACCCTTTTTAGGATTGTGCAGTAGCAGTGTTGCCAAGTTAAGGTTAAGCCTTGAATTTAGCATTGTTTACAGTGGAGAAGAACTTGAGATTTGATCTTGCAGGGTCATTAAGGTACATGTTGAACACAGTTAGCATTCTACCATTCTCATGGAATATTAAGCCATAAGAAATCTTATGAGACTGTAAAGGTAAATAATGTTTTTCATTTATTCTGTTTTCTCATCTCTATGCCCTGAAGTTTGCATCATTGCAAACATTTATTCGCTTTCTAGTCTTATTAAAGCGAATATGGATGTTGCACTATTGAGGTCACTGTTCATTTCTATAAAAAAACCCTTTCAGAAAGTACTCTTATGGGAAACATTTGTCTGTTCTTTATTTTACACATTTTATACATTATTTTATACATTTAAACATCTGTACTATAGGGAGAGGGTAATGACAAAAAAGTTCTAAGTGTCCTTACAGTAATTACTTAATGATAAATCAAATAAGCTGAAAAGGCTGAGAAATGGAGCAATGCCGGACTGCGGAATGACAGATATGCTGCAGTTGGCATGCTTTAAAGAAGTTAATAGGCATCTGTGAGGGATATCACAGGGACCGTTAAAAGCACTTCTGTTATTGGTTAGCAGTCATGGGTGCAGTCTTCCCGGGAGCATCTCTTAGGTTCAAACTTCTGATAGTAGTAGGAATAACAGAAAAAAGTAACTATTGCATACCTATTCATTCAATTGGATGTATGCTGCATCAATTGTAGGCACTTAATTTTAAGGTGTCTTAAAAATTTGGTTGAGAATACACAATGTTAAAATTTCCTTTTACAGTGATCATTACTAAAATTCAGTTAAAGCAGAATTTCTCTTATATGAAATCTCATCCTAAACTACAGAAAATATATTAAAGAGAGGTTGTAGTACATGTGTGGTTTCCACAGTACATGTGTGATTTCCGCTGGGGGCTATGTGTAATATAACTAGTTTTTGTGGAAGAAGTTGTGTTTTCTCTTTGTGGACAAAAGAGTTATTTCTTTTTAACCAGTGATGAGCATTGTAAATTTGATACTTGCTTCAGCAGTTTTGTAAATTCATGACAGAGCTTTTGTCTAAAAGCTGAATGGAGGATGTTCCACAGAAAAGTACATTTAGTAACCTTCTAGTATTCAATTGAAATTCAAAGTGTAAACTTTCAAAATCAGATTCTTTTCAGCATGCTAGCTGTTTTGGCTCTTTAAGCTATGGGCCATGGAATTACTGTGTTTTAAGAACCACTGCTCTGTATTACCACTGTGTCCTCCTTTACATAATTCTTTGTAAATGCGTGTGTTGTGACAGCGGGCAAAAAAGATTCAGTAAGTTAGAATAAAGCGCCAGTAGTTGTGATAGTTGCAAAAATGAAATACAGACTCAAACAAAAAAAACAGTCTCCTATAATTCAGAAATCTTTTAAGGCCTAACATCAGTTCAGAATAAACAGCTTGGTCTGGTGTTACATTATTTATTTTGGCTAGTGCTAATCAATGTTTACCTGAAGATTTGTGAATTAGTAACTGTACAGAATTAGTGATTATCACTTGCGCTTACCTGGTGTCTGGGAATCAACATTCAATTCTTCTTCAGTCGTAGGGAGGCTTGATCTACTTAGACTTTGGTTTGAGCACAATGATCTGCATTGAAATACGTAACCAGTCATAAAAATATATTCATTCTTTGGATTTGGAATACCTAAACAGTCGTCAAACGTGTAGGTTGAGTTAGGAGGTTGCCTAAAACCCATCAGAAATTATGATTTCTGTTTTCTCAAGCATAAAAATAACTTGGATAAAAAGGGCAAATCTAAGTTGCAGTGAAAAGTTCAGAATTCTGGAAGATGAAATGAAGGGAGATGGTGTGGCCTACTTGTTGCCAGTGGCCTTGGGCATCTTCTTGTGCCTTCATTGCTCTGTTAATAGAACAAATGCTGATTGACTACTGATCACTTTATAGTGAATGGCATGGGGCTATAGGTAGGTGTTACTCTCTAGTAAAAGTAGTAAGCAGCTGCTCTTAAATTCCCCTCCCCCTCAGGACTATCTCTCCTTTATAAAATCTTTCAGGTTGATCTGTCTTAGCAGAAGATTATTTCTGGAATTCCATAAATAAAAACTTTGAGTTGAAACTACATACTAAAATTTTAGTATTGACTTAATATTGCTGGAGGTAAATTTTTATTCTCTAGATTGGAATCTGTGTGAACCATGATACCTCGAATAGTGCAAGTTACCTCAGGGTCCAAGGAGCCTGCAGAGTAAACTTGCTTGTACTTACAGAATAAATTTATTTGAAATAATGCAGAGATAAGGAAAGCTGTCTGTCAGTAGAAATATTAGAATTCTCATGTTTATTGACAAATAAAATTCATAGACAATTTGAATGTGTAGCAGAGAATATTATTTGGCTATTCTTCATGCGAATAGGGTTCTCTATTCAAAAAGATGGAAAAACCTTTGAAAATGTCAGATTAGTTGTAACATTACTAAGTTATTGAAGTGGCTGATGTTTTATTTTGTTTACTGTCCGACAATTTTTCCTTGCAGGAGGATGTAGCAGCAGAGAGGAGAAAACAAGCTGTAGTAGAACAGGTGATGGTGGATCAATTATCTAGGTAAGAGAATTTATTAAATAAAATTTCAGTTTTCCGTAGAGAAGAATTTAGATCTATGAGCCTTTGGCTTTTATTGCAAAGGAGGTGTTTTGACCACTTCATTACAAGTTTTATGTAGTGTTGCTATTTGTTTAAAAAAAAAAAAAAGTTAAATGAAAAATCTCCACTTTAAGTGCTATGCATAAGTTCAGTTTTCTCTGAGAATTGTTAATTTTATAACTGAACCTGATTTAAGGGTTTTACAATAACATTACTTTCTGAAAATAACCTCCTTGTATCTCTGCAATATGCATGAATGTTTGTTGCTATAAATTGCACTTTAGTATTATTTTCTCTTCTAAGAATCTCAGCTTTATTAATATTATTTTATTAATATTAACACACTATCCATTTGAAGTAGAAAAGTATTATACCAGTGCTGAGCAGGTACAGCTCAGCACAGATAAATCAAGCTGATAAAGGTTGCACAGGGAAGTTCTTCTAACTTCATTGCTGTCCCCTTAGCTCCTATGGAGTGTTGCTTCTGTGTAGTAAGATATCATGCTATGTTAAGAAAAAAAAAAAAGTAATATATAGGTAAGTAGTATAGCAGGTTCGTATAGCAAGCTCGTTTTTCCTTATCATTTTTTCCCAAAAACTTTTTCTAATTTTTAAGTATGCCTTAATAATTCTGCGACTTACTAAAGCTGGTGTGGTCATGGCAGTATAGTTTGATGCAGACTAGTTCAATATTGTTTCTCATTACTTTACTTGTATAAAACTAGCTGTGGGTATTTCTACAGTATGATGCATCTGTGCTTAGTTACTGTCTCTGTAATTGTTTATACTGATACTATACCCTATGAAATCTTGAGATTTTGAGGTTGAAATGTTGTTTGCTTCACCACTGTATTTTTTTGTTTCAGTTCCAATCGCTGCTTAGCAGCCTATGTTGTGTAAAAGTCTGCTATTGCTTTTATGCTGTTTAAAAGTTGAAATATGAAGAACACAGTCAGCAAAGTTGCATGAAGGAGCCAAGGTGTTCATCAAACATCATGTTTACGTTCCACATGTCATTGGAGCAGGATTAAGAATATGAAGTCTAGAAACAATGTTCAATGCAGAAAGCCCTGTTTTCAAAAATAGTGCTTGTCCCTTGTCATAGTCTTACAAATAAATAGACAAAGCAGATGATTACAGGGATTGTTTTAACAATATGCTGGTTGTGTTGAAGTGGTTTTAATCCTATTGGTATAGGATTAAATGTGCAACGTTAGTGATCCAAGATGCATAGTGTTCGTTCTGTGCTTAAACTCCTTCAGCTGCTTCTCTTTTTTATTATTCTTGTATTTCTTCTCCTGCTCTGAACCCTTCTATTGACACTGTCAAAACAATGTTCAGTAGTGCTGCAGCTGCATGAGGGTGAACTTTTAATTTAAAAAAATCTCTCTGTTTATGTTCCAAATATAACTGTGCCAGTACTGCCAAGGGAATTGGTATCAGAGAGCAGGATGGTAATCGGGGAAGATTAGTTCAAAACTGTCACATGAAAAATCTATTAAAGGAAACACAAAAGGTTTTTTGATTTTGTTTTAATGGAGCTAAATTTGCAGTTAAACCAGTGTAACTGATCTATATGTAAAGATGGATCAACATAGATCATAGAGCAGTTTTATAAACTTAAATTATTAGCCATTCAAAACTGTTTTTTCCTTTTGACTATGAACCATTTCAGTAACATAAGGAGAGATGCAATCTAATATATTTTTAAAATGCCTCTTCTTTTGTTTGATTGTTATAAAGAGAGCATCATAATGTTCAGATTCCAGTTCATTTACCTTCCATTTGCTTGATGTCACTTTGGGATCCTGTGAACTATGTAGTCAGTGCCTTGGGAGAGGAATTGCCTGTGGTTTTGCTGAGTGACATCATTAACCAGCACTAGAAACAGCAGCGACTGATTTTGGAAGGAGCCACTGATGGAGACAATTACTGAAATAGTGAGAATGGGAAACTTTTCATAATCCTCTGAATTAACACATTAAGTTACACATAAAGTGGTGCATTACCAGACTATTATTGCATATATTTGACTTTGAGTAATAGATTTAGAATTTATAAAAAAATATACAAAACTAAGCATGGTTAATGGCTACTTCCGTGTTCTTACTGTTGTATTATCCTCACGTTTTTTTTTTTTTCAGTAAGACTATAAGAGATCTGAAATGTATACTTACTATTACTTACTAATATGCAGAGGGCTTCTCCCTGCTCTTTTTGGATAGAGCTGTTATAAGTGACCCAGAGCAATCCACACATGCTGATGTTGATCAGGCATGTCATGGACTTCCAGGACTTGGGACGGCACCGTTGCGTTTTAGAAAAAGAACGCTACATGAAACAAAGTAAGTTTTATCTAGTGGTCGTTCTTTAGAAATACATTTTTGTGCTCTATTTTTTGATTATTTTGGGCTCTGTTAAGTCTTCCCTAATAGGTTATGTGATAAAAGCTTGCCTCTACAAGCACAAAGGAGCACGAAAAAGACAGCGGCAGGTGGGGGAACTTGAGTAATACCCTGCCCTGGCTTCTTCCAGGCCTTTCACAGGAGAGTAATCAGATCATCAAGTGCTCATGTCCACAAGCACAGAGACAGGCAGGGGAACCCAAATTACTAACTAAGAGAAAAGGACGCCTTGTCCTGGCTCCTCCCAGGGCTGTCCCAGGAGAGCCATCAGTGATTTGGTATCTTTTCCTAATATCCCTGATGCCTTTTTAGGTGTTTTGTTCCTGGCTTGGTCCTAGTAGCCTCACGTGAGGCCTTTTTTGTAGCCTCCCTGTGCTTATAATTGCATATTTTTGTGGATTCCCTGTATGTAATGATCAATTCAGAGTAGTTGTAGAATCTGGGAGTACTGTCTTTAAGCTCACACTGATAGTGTTCTCCATTACAGGGTTCTGATAGCCTTCTTTGAGTTGGCTGCATGTTTGCAACCTTTTTTATCTTTTTTTTTTTTTTTTTTTTTAAGATTCCCACCCTGAGGTGCATAAAATGACATAAATATACATTAGCAAGTGCTGATGTGGATCTTCACAGCATAATCATACCTTTGTTCATGTTCTGATTTCTTCTGGAATAGGTAACTGTATGGGCATTTAAATGTCATTCCTTGCCTGTGAGAATTGAAATGGCTTGAGAAAAACTGAGAAAACATTTTGATCTGTCTAATGAAGTGGATGTGTAGTTCCTATTTTTGTTTTGCTAATCTATCTCAACACACAGGCAAATGTTTCTATTTTTATTATTTTAATATCATGTAAAAAAAACCCCAAAAAAACAAAAAACCCTGTGATGTCGAGAGCAGTCCCCCAATCTCAGTCTGTTACATCCATCACATGGATATTTCTTCATTTCTGGAAATGGTGATCTATACTAATATCGTGGATATAAAGTACCTAGCTGGGTAAAGAAGACCCCACCTGGGTATTTTGCAAAAAAAAAAAAAAAAAAAAAGAATTGTGTAGTAGGAGCATGGTAGAGGTTTAACACTGGACATCAGCATATTTAAACAAAATATCCCATTCATATGTATACCTTCTGTGGATGTATTCGGCTTTTCTGTGGTGAACAGTTGTATGATGTAATCGCAGAATGCCTTCCACGTTATAACTCTTGAGTTACTTTCTAGTTCAACTACAAAGGATCATCTTTTCAGGCAGATTGCCAAGGATACCATATTTCACATTTTTTATTGTTTTGAAACAGTTGATTTTCATGTGTTATTGCTTCGTGAGCATGTACATGTCAACATGTTGAATTATTTTCACAGAGTGAAGACCAAATCAGGATTAACTGAAAACATGCTTTCTAACAAGCTACGTTTTGATAGTAGGATTGTATCAAGGTAATCACAAATTTTGTAAAGATTTTCCGTTCAATGAATTTAGGAATGATGATCTTTACCCTCTTGAGATAGTTAATTGCACTGAACCTTTCTTTCGGAGCCATGTTTATACCCACAGAGCGCATACTTTTTTCTATATACGTGTATATGTAAATACAGATTTTGATGTGGCTGACTGTTTGTGGTTTTACAGTCCTGTTGCACAGCCTTAAGACTCTTAAGTAAAGTCATGTTACCATTATATACATCTTAGCACAACGCAGGACTCAGGGATTGTGTAGAATAGTACTCTTAACCATTGCGCCTCAGTTGATTAACTTTTTTTTGGTCTTATCTTAGCATGTGGCAACTAGTATGGATGAAAAGCATGGCTTTGTATCTTGTTTGTAACTGCTTACATATTAAAAGTTGCAGATTTAGAGTATCTTTGTAAGTGGTCTAAATGGCGTAGGGGTGATACATATTCTTCAGCTCTGTAAGTGGCTTTTTTTCTGAAGCACTGAGCTGTACACTCTAGACACAGCTGAGGATTCAGCCTCCTAACTTCATATACCACAATGAATGTAGGAGTCTTGATTTATGTAATCCTTTAGTTAATGAATGAAAATTACATTGATATACTAGAGTATGAAGTTTTGAAAGGTGTTCTTAATACTATAAAGAAAGAATATTGAATTAAGACATGTGTCCAGATCTACAGATTGATTTACACAATGTTTCGGTGAAAAGAGTCAGGTATCTCTCTCAAAGAAAATGATTGTACAGTAAGCAACATTGGACATAAAATACGTATTTCAAAATAGAAGTGCTATTTCTGTTTGGGTTGAATTAGATTTGTATAAATGCAAAAATCTAAAGGTGGTTTTCAATTTTCCTTCTAGAAATGGTCGTGATGCTTGTAGAGAGTTGATTGGATTTTTTTTTGCATATGACAAATCCCTTACTGTGTATGAATTTCGACAATTTGGAAAAAATAGGTAGGATAAGGCACTTTTATTTGGACCGCGTTATTTTATTTAGATGCGTTATCTTTTGCAACGACTCTAAGAAACTTAACTATATTCAGTTGTATTAAGATCAGTTTTGAATTATTTCACAGAACAAATGCCTTGCCTTTCATTCAGAAGGGAGTGTATCAACACCAGCGTGGACAAAAGAAAGGAAAAGCTTATGATCTCAGTGACTTTTATGTAGTAAGTATTCTTCTACTGAACATGTGTCCATTTTGTTGAAGACTTAGAAATAATATCTAGATGTTAGAGTTGCCCATTGTGATCTAGCATTTAGGGGAAGACCTTCAGTTAATTTCAGTAGGCTTTTCCCATTTAAGGTATTCAGGAGTTTGGATTATTTTGCTGTCAGAATTTTTAGAGATACGCTAGACAGTGTAAGGCTGCAGACAGTGAAGGATTTGTAGACATTAAAGAGTGACAAAATGAACAGCTGAGGCAGGAGTGTCTTGAAGATGAAATAGACTAAAGTATTTGTTAAAAATGAATAATCTTTGCAAGGTCTGCTGGGACTTTTGACACTAAGGAATAATTGAATACTTTTTTTAAAACCTGAGAAAATTTGTAGGGTAATTGGTTTTAAGCTAAAGTTTGAGCAGATTTACCACCAGCAGTTTAGAAATAGCTTTGAAAAGAAACTTTTGCAAAAAGGGGTTAGTTTGAAACATCATTTGAATATATAATATCTAAAGTCAAGGATTTATCTAATGGAGCTTTTGAAACTAGGCTAGACTTCATCCGCCAGCTAATCTCATCAGTGAATGTAAATAATGCTACATCTTCTGTATGGCTGGATTTGTGTGTTAGGTGTTCCTGGTTTACAAATAAGTAATTTTTCAGGCACAGGATATTTGCATTGAGTTTACAACCTTTCATCCTCTGACTAATCTTAAGTTTAGAGTAAATGATGTATTTGAATATGAAAATAAAAGAACACAACACTAGTTTTTAGAGTATTTTATCTAACCACATACCTTACCTTAACTATTTACCTGTGGCTACCATGTAAGAGTTTGCAAGCTGAAATAAATGACTCTATCAAATGGTGGTTGCAGCTATTTAGACAATTTTTCTGGCTGCCATGGGTATGTTTCTAACCTGCAGATGGAATAATTAAAATGTGTTCTGGATAGAGATGCTTCTTTAAACCATCCAGAAAATGTGCCATTACTGAGTTTGATAGCCCTTTGAATGATGTTTAATCTGTAAATCCCCATATCTGCAAACTGGTTCTCTGGGCTGACATTAAGATAGCCACCTGGACTTGGAGAGACATTTGTATGACAGACTGGCATTTTGTACTTTATGGATTTTGGAGACTTTACAACCAAAGCCTGCATGGTATTACAGGTGGATCTACTGCTTTTGTGATTCTTCTCAGGGTTCTTTGCTCTTAGTCTGCTGCTTTTCTCTCCCTCCCTTCTTCCCTCTTCTGCCAGCCCAAATAGCTTCTTGAACTTTGGAGTAAATGTAAGGTGTCCCCTGACCCCAACCTGGAGGGAAGGGGAAAATCTGTAATACTTAGGAGGGACTACACTGGGAACTGTACGTTATTACTAGCGCGTTTTTACTCCAAATTTGTTAGTGAAATCTAGTAATTTTAAGGAGTTACTGTATATTTTAACATTGCGGGAATGATTTGAACTTTGGGATGGCTACTTCTGAGTTGTTTGTAGCTCTCAAATCTGATTTTAGGTTGTTTAAAATAGCTATGGAGGGTTTCTTCTAGTTTGAAAGGAGTTTGTTGTCATAGAATCAATGTAGCACCTTCTACCTTAACCTCTTTTTTTGTGGCCAGTGGTTTCTGGATCCCATAGTGATGAAAGGGGGGGGGGAAAAACCCAGAAAAGTAGAGCCTGGCTGAAGGAACAGTACTCTGTAATCTCACATTCCTGAGTTGTGAATTAGGCCACAGTAGGCAGACCTCTATGTGGGAGGTAAAGAGTATCATCTTGGAGCCTGCAGCTGTTTTTTAGTGCTAGAAAGGCTCTGTTAAAGAGGTTAACTGACCTTAGCTACACTTTTCTGTCATTTCATACCAAGAATTATACTTGCTGAAGGACATACAGAACATGTTCTGCAAAATACATGATGTGCTTGTAGGTCATTATATGCTCTATCTGCAGGGAGCTAACCTCACTTTCCAAAGTGTTGATCATAACCTTCCAGAAAGTGTTAAGCAGAACCCAGTTCTCACCCTTCGTGTGACAAGTACTGATGAAGCAGCCATGGATTTTCTAAAGTAAGTGCAGCTGTTTTTCAAATTACTCTTCCTCCCTTACAAAAAAGTTTTATTTATTTATTTTTTAATTGGGTCTTCTAACATTATACTATTTATACTGTTAAAAATTCTACATTTAGGCTGTTGTTGAGAAAAATTAATCATAGATGTGAGTGGATGTTCTGTAATTCAGTAATTTGTTAGAATGATAAGGATTGATTTTTAAAATAAGAATTAATTTAATTATGAAGCTATCCTGTTTGCTGTGTTTGAATTTGAAGTCAATTTTTTCTATGTACAAGTCATATACTGAAACTTTTACATGATGAACTGAAGTACTACATTTGGGGAAAAAATCCTTTTTCAGGGATCAACACTATCACTGAATCTTTTATGACGCTTATGTTTTAAAAAAGCAAGCAAACGTGATACCATCAGCCGTGATAATGCTAGTGTTTCAACAGAGGTGAGGGAAAGACTGTAGCACGCGCTCTCTCTCGTGCGCACGCATGCTCTCTCTCTCTCTCTTTTTTAATCTTCCCCTTCCCTTCACTTTTCATTTACTTTCATTCTCCAGATATTGCCATGTGTTGAGGACTACAAACGCTGGGACGCCTTACTTTGTCATCTCATTTGCTTTCATATCCCTTTGACGTACTGAACCCCATGTTCCAACAAAACCTTTTCTCACCCACTGTTTTTCTAAAACTCTGAGATTCTCTGTATATTGCAGTTCTTCCTTGCTTTATATTCTGGTGGAAAGAGAGGTGTGCTGCTTAATACAATGCTTACCTCTAGCATCAATTCTGCGTTTCTGTTGAAGAAAATGAGTCCTGATAGCATTATCTCTGCTACTGTATATCATCCAGCCCATCAGCGTTGGAGTAGAGAACACACAGGGCTAGTATCAACACCTAATAGTTTGATATTGTTTGATATTGGATATCTTTAGAATTAAGGTGTTGATACTGATATATTGCCAGTTTTCTCCTTCCCCTTATTTCAAGTGAGCATAAACAAAGAGGAGAAAGAAATGGAATCGTCTTTCTATTATATGTTATAATTAACTGCCCGCATGAGAAATCTGTAGGTCACAGATTGTGATCATTTAGTATCTCACCAACCCCTATTTGCATGAATTTAACATGTCTGACAAAACATGTGACTGTCGTGGCTGGGTGTGTCCTTGTTTTCAATAGTATGATTGGTTTACTGTAGCAAAGAATTATGCAGAACGTAGTTTCAAGTGTATCTCTGGCTGCTGAATCACTGTAATTTTAGTGTTTACAGTAAGCTGTCAGTTAGTGGCACTTCTGATTTGGACGTTTATTCAAATTGCCTGTTAACTTTTTAATAATGAGATGTGAGTGATCGCAATGTGTTTCACTGGGTTATATGACCTAGTTCTTCCCTGCAATTATCTGTACTTGTTTTTTTTTCTTTTTCCTTTTCCTGATGGACTGTGTCTGCAAATAGCTCTTCCCAAGAGGATGGGTTGTGGTCATAGGGAGAAAATTATTTTCTCCTTGTGCATTTCCTCTCTTTTATGATCAGTAGAACGTAGGTGTGACGCCAGTACAGCTCAGAACTAATACATTTATGTAGCAGAAAAGCTCTTTTGGAGCAGTATTTCTGTACTTTTTCTTTCAAAATGGCTTTGGTAAATTAGGTTGTTTCATAATCTGAAAGATGGAAATTTCATAGAACTTTTTCAGATGGTTAGGTGAATGGTTAATCCTTGAATATGCAAAATTTTGTAGATCGTATTCTCATCTTAATATCGACATAGAAGTAAACTGTCTAGAGAATGCAATATCTTCCTCTGGGGGTGTCTGAGTTTTATTGTTGGTATGCTGGTTCTTACGACATAATATTTTGGTGTGAAAATTTGTTACATTACCGCGTTGCCTGAACATGGAAGATACTTAACAGAATTGGAAATACAGTTGGAGCTTGGTGACTCAAATTTTGGTGAAGAATTTTAGCCTGTAGTAGGTGTTACAAGATATAAATTTGCATCGAATCACAGAATGATTGAGTTTGGAAGGGACTGCTAGAGATTCTCTAGTCCAACGTCCCTTGCTCAGAGGAGAGTCAACTACAGCAGGTAGGTTAGGACTGTGTCCAGTTGGGTTTTGAGCATCTCCGAGGATGGAAACTCTACAGTCTGTCTGGGCAACTTGTTCCAGTGTTCAACCACACTCAGAGTGAAAATGTTTCTCCTTAAGTTTAAAAGGAATTTCCTGTCTGTCAATTTGCGCTCATTGCCTCTTGTCCTTTCACTGGGTGCTACTGAGAAGAGTCTGGCTCCATCTTCTTTACTCCCTCCAAGCAGATATTTATACAGAATAATAAGATCTTCCCCTAAGACTTCTCTTCTTGAGGCTAAACAGTCCCAGATCTCGGAGCCTCCCTTTGTATGCCAGATGTTCCAATACCTTCTAGAGCAGGAACAGCAATAACAGAGCCACAGCTAAAGACGTTCACTATCTAAAGACTGCTTTAGTTAGAATAACGTAACTAGTATTTTCTTTCTGCAAGTGCTAAGATACATGAAGCTCGTTCTTACAGTAATGTTTACTTTAAGGTCCCTTTACACCGAAAGCTCTGCAAAGGAGCCGTAGTGAGCTAACAGTCCATAAAACAGTAAATTAAAATTGAGTGGATTATAGAAATATATAGTAGTTGTATGATGCTTACTGTTAATTTTTCCCTCCCTGCAAGGTTTTCATGAAATGGAAAACAATACAATTTAATTTTGAATAGTTTATGTAAGACATTGTGCATTGTACCTGTAGAGTTTGGAGTTGATCCAATGTTATCTCTGAAGGCTCCAGAATCAAGACCTGTTCTTCAGGTCATAATTTAGGTATGGATTTTCTGCTACCCCTGGTAGAACAAATCCCTTCTCTTTTATTCTCTCTCAAATTAAAGTGCGTTCTTTTAGGTAGCAACTAGATTTTTGATTTTTTGAAGTCTGTCTTTCTCTTCTGAGATAGAGGATTATTGACATCTAACTATCTACCTTCTCTCATACAAAATTCTTGAAGTGAGTCCTTGTCCTCCCGTTGCTGTAACCACAGAGAATCACAGAATCACAGAATCATTTAGGTTGGAAGGGGCCTCTGGAGATCATCTAGTCCAACCTCCCTGCTCAAGCAGGGTCACCTAGAGCATATTGCCCAGGATCACATCCAGACGGGTTTTGAATATCTCCAGGGAAGGAGACTCCACTACCTCACCCGGAGAAGGTGCAGTCACTACAGTTAAAAGGTCTGGAATTTCTCTCTTACTGCTCATGCATGTCACTGATGGATCATGTCCAGAACACTTGCTCCTTGGTTCAGGACATACTGCAGTAAGTTAAATCAGAATAGTAGTATGGAACCCATTCTTCCTGTAAGGAATTGGTGACGTCATGTGAAATATCTGAACACTGATTAAGGGAAATTTTTAAATAATTCTGTCCTCCTGCAGAGGTATTCTTTGGTAGGAATATGTTGCTGGGTTGGTACCCAGTGTCCCTTAAGCAATACTACTCTTGGTCTGCATCATGGAAGACAACTTTTTCTGCCTTTTTTTCTACCTGAGCAATAACAATGCTAGTCGTCTTGTCTTTGTGTCCCGTTAGTGATGAATAAAGAGCTAAGACATGAAACAGCTGGGAAAAAATGTTATCTCATTGTTTTCTTTCAGTTAGCAGTTTCACTTAGCATTTAGCCACCTTGCTAGGATACAAAGGATACAAATTATATAGTTTTAAAATTTCTCTTCTAAAGAGAGATTTGTTTTCCTGTTCTTAAATAAATGTTGATGGTTAACAAATTCTTCCAGTGGCCTAAGCTGAAGAGTGGGACTTTCTCCAGAAACATATTTCAAGACTTTTTACACACGGGAAGAATTATCCATGATTAATGAATTAGTAGAGGAACTGCTAATAGAATATTGTCAGACAAGAATTTCTGCATACCTGCAGCTACTGGGCAATGACTTTTCATGTGTGCCATGTCAAACTAAAGCAGTTGGATACTATGCCTATAAGGGCAGCATAGGAATTAAGTTCAAACATTTTTTACTACAGCTTTTTTGAATTCAGTAATGTTACATGTAAATCCACCAATCAATATGAATTTTGACTATTTTAGAGCTACTTCTATGGAACTTGAGCAAGAATTTGCCAAGCAAGAGACTGAAGACAACAAAGTTCTCAGGAAGATTCAAGGTTTGTGTCTGCTACAACCCACTTAATTTTAATTTCTTTCTTTTTACAGCTCGACACAAAGAGCAGTAGCGACATTTTAAGGATTTTATTTGTATAAATGAAATAAAACAAAAGTTAGATATTTTAATTAATACAATGAATATTACCGGAATATGGTTTCAGAATAAAGCAATCACAAGAATACTGTATCCTCTCATAGATATACCTTTTAATTTTTTTTCTTGAAATAAGAGGTCTGGCCAAAGATCATGGAAATACTACACAATAATTATGAATGTAATCAATAAAACTTTATGCTATAATGACATGATCTATGAAATTACACTAAAGCGTAGTGTTAAACTGGCATTATTTTAAAAATCACTGGCATAATGTACAAAATACAGTCCCATTTCTTCAGTTAATTTTGTACTATTATATTAATTTTAGATAGTTCTTTCGGCTGTTATTTCTGTATATCGAAAAGCTGTTGTTTTTCATAATCTCTAATATTAATTATTGATTAGTATATTCTGGAATGTGTAGCTGAATTTTACCAGATTGCTATCTGCAGTCTTTTGGACAAGAGCATATCTTTGTGTTTAAAATTGTGGAAAGATATTTTTACGCTGCTGCGTTTTATCTTTGTATTCTGTGATTAACAAAAGTTGTTGAATTCGACCAACTCCTGACTTGCTCAAGTATTTACTGTCATTAGCTTAAACCCTTTTTTGTGTAGTCTTCAGTCACTAAAACCTGTATGGACATTTACTTTTAGAAAAATCATTGACTAATAAATTCTGGGTAGTTTCAATCTTCTAATTGTTCCTTTTTTTTTTTTTTTGGTCAAAATTCATACATTGATTCTGCGATTATGTGATTATATGTAGTGTTTGCTGGTGTGGCATGGAAGAAGGTTGCGTGTATATATTTCGAGACCTATTTTAACGTGCTGAGTGTGATCTTTTACTGGAAACAACTCCCCTCCTGCCATTTTTATTTATAATTGTAAATATTAGTAATTTGAAAAACTAATAGGATAATAGCAGGTGACTTTTGTTAACAGAATATGCTGAGAAACTCAGACACCCATAAAGTAATCCTGCTATCTGTAGGTTTTGATACGGCCATCATTTTACTGTATAAATAGTTTTGTGGGTATCATTTTGGAACAGTTTTGCCAAATTGCTTGTATTTGTTCTTGCTTCCACTGCTTGTATTTGTTCTTGCTTCCACATTTATTTAGCATTTCTCTACAGTTGAGGAGTAGTTCTGTGCCCCATAATTGAAAGTTTTTATTACCAAAGTATGATGTTGGTATATTGCTTTTTATGTTGAATGACGATATGTAATCGTTTCTAGTGGAAGTAAGCAGCTCTTTAATCTGAGGGCATGTGGAGTGAAAACCATCTTCCTTTCCTTCTGTGGCCTTTTTAATGGTTTGCTAGATTTTGCTGCTTCTGTTTATGATTTCTACTTAAATGTTAAGTGACTGATAGTTTCATTTAGAGCTAACATTTTCTATTCAAAGATGAGAGAATCTGGATATATCATTTTAACCAGCAGTATCATTAAGTAGCTGTGGTTTTGTTTTGTTTTAAATCCTCTCCAAAGCATGTGGCCAACTTTATGTAAATATTTGGTCCTTTATTTCTCTGGATCCTCAGGTACGCTCAGAGAGACACTAAGGAAAAAAGGAGTTCGTGTTTTAACATGCTTAGGCAAGCATTTCCGACAAATGGACAAGAACAGAAATGGGTTTCTCTGTCAGGCAGACTTTAAGGAAGCTCTAAAATTATTCCATTTGGAAGTGCCTGAAGGAGTAAGTCTATCTGAAACTGCTTAATAACTATATGTGCAAGTTGGTTTTTTTTCTCTGTGGCATGTTGGCATTTCTGCATTTGCTTCCACGTGAAATTAAAATAAAAAAAGAAAAGTTACTTTTGCACAAAAGTCTTTTGTGTTACAAAGAGGCAAGTGGGACAGCAATCCATTTTTGTCTTTTTTGACCCTTTTAAAATAATGAATATGATGCTATTTTCTTATCTTTTTTCTTTAAGTTATTTTTAATTTACTTGACAGTAATTTTGTTAACACTATTTTGTGTTGTAAAAACTACTCACATATAGCAAAACTGCAGATAACAAGATTTTTTTTTTCTTATGGTCATCAGTGACCCTTAGTAGCTTGCATTAGTTTAGCCACTCTTTGAGTCAGTTTGGATTTAGAAGATGATGTTTGTGAAGAAACTGTAATTTTCTACATAGCAATAGCTTTGTTCTTGGACACAGTAAAGACATCAAAAGTTATTCAGTTCTGTTGTTTAGAAAAATGTTATAGAACTTTGTTTCCTGGCACTAATATCAGAGAAAAACTAGGGTTTCTTTCTCTCTTAAGTGGTGGTGGCATAGCTTTTGCATTTAACGTGGATTTTCAGTGTGGCACCATCTTGAAGCAGAAAGGGGCTTACGCTTCGAACCATACTTGACATTTTTTCAGCCTACAATAACTGCAGGTGGTCTGCTTGTTAAGAACTTGTTTATATTTTATAAGTAAAGTTTTGCCATCATGACAGTAGTATGTCTTGTATTTTAAATGCATTGAATTTTATCTTACCTAAATACAAAAATCGAGTGTTCTGCATTTTTTTTCACAGTGTTATAATGCCCAAATAGTTATGTTCACATGTATTTTATAAGAATTAACTTTGGAAAATTACTTGTAAATTACAGGACTTTGAATCCTTATGGCTTATTCTTGATGATAGCAAGACTGATAAAGTTGACTATGGGGAATTTATTCGTGCCATTGTTGGAGAAATGAACGAGTATCGGAAAACATTCGTAAGAAAAGTAAGTTTCGTGGTAGATACTCTTGAGTGCAGATATTTTCCAGTCTAACTTTGAAGTTGGTTATTCATCATATTTTGATTTTTCTTAAACTGTGCATCTAATAATCAACTCTTTAAGCTGTCAGATAAATTTATTAAAGTAAATGTACATTAGAAGACTACACATTGTTCCATTGTTGAATTAGTTAATTTTGAACACTGCAATTTAGAATTAAGTCTTTAATTATTTTGAGTTTATGAGTATGTCTGCTATTCTCACTGTTCAGTCTAGTGTTTAAAGCATTTGGCTGTGTGAAACAATCTCTTCCAGAGGTCTGATTGCTTGATTTTGGACAGATCACTATCTGTGTGCATAGTTTTTCCTCAGTGTGTGAAACGAGGAAATAATACTTGCCGCCTTTGAGACCTACGCTTAGAGGAAATGTATTAGTGAGACATTTTATATTTGAATTACCATTTATTATATGTGTCCAGAAACTGGATTGACAAAGGTTCTGGTAATATAATGTGGAACGATCTGCAGTATGAAACATTGATTACAAACTAGTCAATATCATAGTGACTGGCTGTCATGAAGATCAGGAAAAAGCTATATATTTTCATATTTCTAATCACTGAGGATCTGACTATCCTAGCCTTATGCGTTGAGTGTGCGTTTGAGCAAAACTTGAAATAAAAATAAGAATGCTGTTAGCAGCACTGAAGAGACTGTGTTTGAGGCTTCCCTATTTGTCAGAATGACCTGGGAATCTTTGTAGTTGGAGGAGGCAGAAAGGAAGCAGCTTGACTTCAGATTCTAAGGATAAGCTAGAAGATTTTGGAGAGAGAAGGCAACTTTTTTTGAGTTTGTGAGGTGACCGCGTTTAGTGTGAAAGCCATTGAGGTAAAATAATTATGAAATGCCATATTCTAGAGTCATTTTCTGGTATCCAGTGACTGTGATTGCAGATTAAATTTACCTACAATAAAGTAGGTAAGTGGACATAATCCATTGCACATAATCTAAAAATAAATGATATGTAGTGAAGTATATTCAATCTTTATACTAAATTATTTTACCTGCTTTTTTTCCCCTTGTTTAGGCTTATATGAAACTCGATTTCAACAAAACTGGGAGTGTGTCTATGGTAGATATCAGAAAATGTTACTGTGCAAAGAAACATCCTCTAGTATTGGCAGGTAATTCACATTTAAAAAAAAAAAAAAAAAACTTGTAACTGATGAAGTCAATTTGTTAGCAGAGAGATATTGGATCCAGAACCTATTTGCTGTAAATATAACCTGTTTTCCTATTCGCTTTGACTGGAGCTGTTAACAAGTTAACAAGAACTATTTTTTCCTCTAATTACCTATAATGTGTCTCTGGAACATGACTATAAATAGTAATGGAGTTTATATGCACAATTTTAATTCGTGCTTTCTATCAAGCTACAAATACTTCATATATGCAGATTAGTTCCTTTTCCTACCTGTGTACGACTACATTTAAATAGTTACATCTCAGCTTTTGTGTGTAAGTAATCAGTGACATGTATGATGTTATTAATTTTCACTTAAGAGGAGATACTTTTTTCCATATTACTTTTTTTCATCAAAACATGCAAGGTTTCCAAGTGCAAGTAAATATACTCAGCACTTAAGTTTCAGAAGAAATTATCTGTTTATTTCTGGGACATGGATTGTCATCCTTTACAGAAGAAATGTTGATATCTTCATTATTTTTTTCAGGAATCTCAAAAAGGTTTATATTTGGCCATTGGAAAAAATAGGAGTTTAAATCTTTGCATGTCAGTTTCTAAAATATATCCATTTGCCTAATTAGTGTTTGTGAAAGTCTCCCTGGTGCCCTCCCCCTGCAGAAGGGAGGATGTTTTCTGTATTGCTAGTGATTTTAATGGTAACACATAAAGACACATGGTGGCGTAGAGGTGTTGGACAGAGGAAAACCTTTGTGATCCTGGTTCTCCATAATTCACCTCTTTGGATCACCATGCATTTTTTTCCTCCGCCTTCAGAACTGAGTGTTCAGTAAATTCAAATAATTTTTCATCTGGTTTGTCAGAATATTTTTTTTTCTATCCTGTCCCTGAAGTAAACTAGCCAGAGGAAAACCCGGTGATTGCATAGACAGTAAATGGAGATGATCTCAGAAATGTTACAATCGCTTATGAGCGAGAACTGTAGATCTTAAAAACATCTTCCTGTTAGAAGCATGTACTGCTATGGTGAATGTAATTGAAACCAACAGAGTCATGTTGTAACAGCAAGGACAGCAGTTCATTGAAATTGATATTTTCCAAAGGATAAGAACTCCTTCTCAATGCCATTTCAAATACAATCTTTAATGAAGTCACTAGAACACACAAGTGTCTCTTCCAGAACACTTTTCAAATACAAACTTGAATCTTAAGGTTTTTCTGGAGCTTTGAACTTACATTGCATTAAGCATATGCTTTGTTACAAAGATTACTTCTGAATTACCGGAATTTAGGAATGCATCATTCACTTCTTTGTCATGTGAAGAAAAATCTTCCTGATCTTGTAATCTATTTAAATCAACTTTGGCCTCGTGTTTTTGTTGATATTTAATGCTATCATATGCTGTTGAAGTAAGATAATTTCTGCAGTTGATACTAAGTGAGCCAATGACTGTGGATTCAGAATGTTTTAAGTTGTTTGAGGAAAAAAAAGTGTTTGTAAGCTGAAATTGAAAAGTTTCTTTCTTGAAATATATTGAATGCTGTATATTCACTGTTCTTGAAAATGTATTTAATGGAAAAATGTATACTTTCACAGGCAAAGCCACAGAAGAAGAAATTACATCATCATTTCTAGAAACATTAGGAGATTCCTGCAGTAATCCCAATGAAGTGTCCTATTCAGAGTTTGAAGATTACTATGAAGGATTAAGTATTGGAATCATGGATGATGATGATTTTGTTAATATCTTAAGGAATCCTTGGGGAATATAGAGTGGAAGAAGTCAAAAAAAGGAAGAGAGAAACGTTCTAAACAAGGAGTAAACTAAAAAAAGTGAAGATTTAGTCTTAACATGCATTACTTCATAATTAATGTCTTACATTGATTTCAAGGGCTGAGAATTTTAGGTGCTTTCAGAATAATACTCTATGAGTTACTTAGTGTCCCTTGAGCTGTGCTAAATACTTTCTAAATGTAAATACTGTTCATTCCTTTTTATTTGAAACAATAAAGGCTGTTCCCCATACCAGAAGGCGTTATTTACTTGATATTAGAATAAAGTGGCTTATTTTAAAGTAATGGGAAATTAGAACACCAAAAAGCATGAAAGAGTACATGTAAGAGAAAATTTAGTTTTATGATGCATTGTGGAAAACTTAAGACTGTATAAATATTCATGGGAGCTGTTCTTCAGCATTTTATACTTATAAAAATAAATATATTTATTCTGATAACATCCTCTGAGTTTCTCATTTCTTATGCTGATATTCTCTCTGAAAGGGAGCAGGTCATCCTTCTCCAATTTTTAGGATGTCTGCAGTACTGAAAATGTGTAGAAATTCACACCAATTAACTTTTAAACTAGTATGCAGGCCACCTCTGCTGATCATATTTATTCATCTTGGTCAGGCATCCAAAGCTGAACACTGAATCTCAAAGATCTTAATTGCACAAATAGATTTTGTGATGCACTTCTTTTTCTATATTTTGCTAAGTTTCTTTTCAAAACAAAATTTAAATATCTGGCTTTTGTACTTTTTACTGCTATTTTTTTAAAATACACTTAGCTTTATCAAAACTGATGTATAGAATTTCATATCTACTCTGAAAGTATCACACAGAAAAGTATAAAAAACCCCACCTCTGTCACAACAAAAATTTAAGCTAAGTAAACTATTCCTTGCTACTTCAATTATTCAGCCAGATATGCCTTTCAGTATAATAAATCCTGTTAATTCTGTAAGGTTCATTGTGTTAGGGATTTAAAAAAAAAAAAAAGCATTATTAATTTTCTATATATTTTTGATAGCCTTTGGTTTCCATATGCCTGTCACCAAAATTAACTGTATATTGAACTGCATTTTTTGAGCCTATATAATTAAAATATAATAGTTTTCTTCATGCTTGTCTGACTACATTTTGAATATACAGCCTTTAGTTAACAGAACCTTCCTCTGAGTCAGAATTTGTTTCATGGGCGTTTAAGGTCAGTGATGAAACGTGAGTGCCTTTGGTCCCTCTATGAGTGGCTGGCTTATTTTAGATAATAGTATTTTCTTGCCTTATTTTAATAACTTCTGCATTTTATCTTTTGATAATCAGTTTGTTGTTACCCTGTCCTCACTAGTAACTAGCATTGCAGTTTCCTCTCTAAATCCTCAAATGAGAGACTTTTCCAGTTCTTCTGGGGTCACACAAGTGTGTATGCGGTGGTTACCAGAGGAAGACCAATCCGGCCAATGCTTGCTCTACGATGAGGATTCTGGCGT